GATAATCGTTTTTAGCATGCCGACATAACCAAAACGTAATGAAGTCAATATATGTTTGTACTTAATACACTGCTCCGAGTGTTGTATGTAGTTATGTAGGTAAATAAAATATAAATTGTCAAATAAACGAAAACATATCAAAAATTATTCATGATGTGATATTATAGAAATAATGATGAAAAATAAATGTAATATTTTTATGTAACAAAAATAATATAATATTATATACCTAGTTTAAATGCATACGCTATTAAATAATAAGTCAATGCAATTATAGTATAAACCTATTCTCTTGTCTCAAGCAACTTTTTTAAAGTATTAGTATTAGTAATTTATAACTTGTATTAACATGTTACAAACAGACATATCACTTGATAACTTAAGAGGGTAATGGTTATGTGTTTTTTTTTTTTTTTTTTTGTATGTACTTTATTAGACATACGCCACGTATGTTTGTAGAACATATTATCATTAAAATAGATTAATTGTATAATATTATAAAATAGTATTAACAATTATATATTTATGTATACGTATAATTATATAAATTGATGTATTATATGTTTTTTTTTTTTTTAATTATTTCAAATTTCAATCATTAGAGTATTATAATAAACAAAAAACCAATAAATCGTACATTATAGTTTATTTGCAAAACAGCCAATTATGATTATTGATATATGAACATTATTTTATGGAATAATTTTTACGTGAATGTTACATATATACAAACACTAGTTATTAGTATAGGTAAATATAAGATTATAGTTAAAAGTTGAGTTATTTATAATATTTTGTTGTTGTTGTTCTTATTGTTTGATTACTGTGTTAAGGAAATTTTGACTCCTTAGATATTTTCAACTACTAAGGAATATGAATTAGCCAATAAATATGTTTTAATAACAATATACTTATATATACATAATATATATAAATTCAATTTTGTTTAGTATATTTTTTGTTTTAATAAGTTTCAATTCAATAATGTGGTGAAAAATAATATAAGATATAACTAATGACTTAACTTAAACACATATTTTTTACTTGATTATTTTTCAACTTACCTAGTAACAAAAACAATTTCCCATCCAATCAGAACAACGTAATTTTCATATGTCTATAATAAACCACAGAATATAATTTTTTTCATTTAATAAAAATTGATTTGATTGTGTTTAAATTATCTGAATACTATATTAAAATGTGTTTACAGAAGATTTATATTTATGAAGTTTGATTAAGTCTGAGAGCAAACGTGTACTCAAATTCCGTTAAATCCAAAATGCAAGTACACGGTTGATTTAATAAATTAAAAAAATAAATAATATTTATTGAAAGCTATACAAACAATAATATTGTATATACATATGTATTTGTTTTATTTAGTGAAAATTATTTTAACGTGGTGATTTTACTTTGTATATAGAACTAATGTGTTAACGTGAACAAAAAAAAAAAAAAAATATATAATAATATAAGTAGTAAATATTGTGGCTATTATAACAAGAATTGTTTCGACCTACCATTTTACCACTTCAATTGTAACTACAATAATATAAATTGTTATTAGTCCAATTAATGTTTTGTTCTAGAATTACTTAACTAATCATTTAATCTGAAAAGTGTTTTATGTTTATATTTTAGTGAAATAAATATTATGTTATGATAATAATATTAATTATACATTTATCTGTTTAAACGATTTAACCGTGTTTTTATTTTAAACGTTTCTAGCAACAGATTTCGTACAGTTACCCGATTTATTAGAACACGTGTGATCGTATTATAATATTTAAATTTTAAAATGCAATATAAATAACGTGCGCATATCGATATTAACAATTTTGTTCGTCGGATATATCAATATACGTTTTAAGAACGATGATGGACCATATAAAATATTTATTGCGCATGTAAAACAACGATTATATTATTGTCTTTTTTTTTAAATATTATAATTTTCATGCTTTCGATAATTTTGACGATGGCATTATTAATCATGTAACTAGCTCTACAATTTACCATCGTATATTATATTATTACGATTACGATTATTAAAATTCAAAATTCGATCGCAGTCATAGTCCAGAAATATACGGATGCATATAACAAATAATGAGTGGCATAAGTATTTAAAATTGAGTGTATGTTGTACTTTTCAGAAATTTCCAGAATTATAAATTGAGGTAAAAATCGGCATGTTTTAGGTATGTGTTATAACTTATAACTATTATTATTTAGTGTTTCGTCGACCTCGTAATAACAAACAAATGGCCGTCATTCGATTTTTTTTAGTTTTCAAAATATTTTTCCGATTGAAGTTTATCAAAAAAACACCTAAGTTCGAGATCCACACATTATGTCTCCAAAAAATGTATCGATTTAGTGTACATAATATTTAATTTGGATCCAGAAAATATAGATGAGACAAGAACTAGTCAACTAATTAAGTAAATCCATTAAAACGGTCGAAAAACTGCTACGATCGGATATACACATTACACATATATAATATATCTGTATACATGGCGTTAAAATTGAGTTAATCAGAGTGCCGACATCGCAAGACATGTTGGTGCTGGCGGGCTTTCAGAACGTATGCAGGTATTATAAAACAATTATATTAAATTTACAAACGATATGTAAATTTTTAAAAGTATATGTAAATATGAAAAATTGTTTCAAATGAAACGTTGTTCAATATAATTAAAAAGTACATTATTCTATAGGCGATACTGTAATTGTAATTTGAGCCCACTAAGCATTCTGCACATAATATTATTCTGATATAAATCAGTTGAATAAGATTCAAGATATTAATTCCAATTTGCCTTAGGTAATATTTTATAAATTCTCTTTAACAGATTTATCTGGAACTAAATATTAAAATAATCTGTTAATTTTTGTTAAGGTAAGTCAACATATCGTTATTATTATCATGGTTTTCCTGTAATATAGTTATTGGTATTTTACCAAAAGTTTTCCAACTATAGCAGTTTAAAAATATGATTGAGATTAGAAATAAATAAGTGTCTATAGAGAGACCACTGGTATAAAAAAATATTTATTAATGTGATTAATAATCATGGTGACAATAAAATTTATATTATTAAAGCTAATTATAAAATACAGTAGAATAACGCAATGATCAAAAGACAATTTCTGTAAAACGATTAAATACGGACCACATTCATCGTCAGCAGAAACTGTAAACTACATTAAAAAAAATAAATAAATAATTATTGAAATAAAACACAACAAAACTAAAATGAAATCTAATTAATATTTAGTAATAGTTATTTTAGCTGTTTTTATCATTAACATATATTGATACAGGATATCAGTGTTTTAATCTAATACTTTGTGTAGTTGTAAAATTCTTGAAATCGATATTTTTATTTTCAATAAGAAACTGTCGGCTTAATCAAAAGTTAAGTCAGGCCAAATATTTTTTTTTCAAAAACTTTTTAGAACACATCACTCTTTCAAAAATAATAATAGATTCCAAGTACCTAGTTTGTTAATTTGGAAATAATAAATAAATCTACATGATTTATACAATCCTTCTCCATTTCTGTATAGATAGCAAGCACTAGTATACGATAATGATATTTTTTTAAATTTTTTTTTAAGACAGGAATATTACATAAATTAATATCGGTCAGATTCAGTCTCGCAATGTGATAGAAAATAAAACAGCGACCAAATCTGGGTTGTTCAGATTATTTTCGAAAAAAAAAATCGATTAAGAAAACAAGTTATACAATATAAAAACGGTAAGTACTGTAAACTATAAACGTGTAATATGTAATGATTAGGTTACGGTCACTATTCAAGTATCGTAGGTAGGCACCATTAGTGATTTATTATACTATTACGTATAGATTTAAAAATACCATTCGAGTATTTAAAATATGATATTTTACCATATTTAATTTTACTAACATTATACAATGTTTAACTTGTGTTTCCGTACTTGTTTAACTTAACTTTAAAATATTAATTTGCATAGTCATAAGTTGGTAATATGTGTAAATTCTATAAGGAAAAATAAGTTATTAAAAAAAATACATTAACGATAGTTAATTTGAAATAACTGATTCGTGACAACAATTAAATATAATATAATTGATTCCATTTATAAATTCATTTAAATAATTTAAAATAAATGTATTTAAAACACAATTATACCATAAGACGTTTTAGTCCTTAAAGATTTGTGTTAAATTTAAATAAAGAAATAAAATATATCTAATTCTATATGGAAACAAACACTTTAAATTTTAACGTGGTATATAAATTAACATAGTTATTTTATTTTTACTTGTCTAAAAGCTTTGACGTATATAGTTTTTCCTGCTATATTATACCATGCAGAAATATACCGTTTCTTTTAATTGTATGTGTAGAAAGTATTATTAAAAAAACCATAAGACATAATTCAATTTCTTCGTTTTAAACGGTTTCGATTTAGATGTGAAAATCGTTTTAATTTTCAAGAAGTTCAATAAAATTTAATCGAATACAGATTACTAAAAAATGTTTTAAAGGTGAGTATTTACAAAAATTAATATGAATAACGTATAGAAATAAATGCTAATCTTAGAATGTTTTACCGAAAAAAAACTGCATTAAAATGGACATTATTATTATGAATTACCGATAGGTAATAACAGAAACTAGTATTTATTTTCTCTTAAATATGGTATATAAAGTGCGATAAAAAAATTCATTATGCACATTACATAATAATTATATGATGATAAATTAGTATTGACTGATTTTTGTTAAATAGTAATATGTTAACTCTAAATATTTTGTAATTAACATCATTATCTCAATTGTTTTTATTTTTAATGAATATAATCATAAATCATACAATATATATATATACAATAAAATATATTTTATATACAAAACAACTATTTATATATATATATACTTTTTAACAAATATTTCATACTAATTAAAAAACACACGAACATTAATAAATTTGCCACAAAAATGCATTTTAATTCGTGGTAAATACATTTCTTAAACAAACACAAGTTTATACAATTATTACGATTGCACAAAGCTGTGTTAAATATGATAGTATTATTTAATTTAAATACAAGGTAAACGCGTGAAACGTAATTGTTTTAACCATTTATAGTACGGAGGTAGTATTATGCGCGGAGATGATGTTCCAAAACTTTTCGATAAATCTCTCGCGTGAAAACATTCTTCAACAAAGTAAGTTTATACAGGTATTTGATATATTATACATTTAGATAGTATGTATCAATAGTTTTTTGGCATGAACTTCGATCGTCCGTAGTATATGCGATAGAGGTGGCGATTCCATTGAATTTATATAGTACCTATATAATATGTATTATGTATACCTTGCTGTCCCCAGAAATTGAAATGAATTATTTTAGCGTTTGTAGGTGGATTCGATCGTCAAAGTCCAAAAACAAAAAAAGAAAGGTATGCACCGTGTATAATGTATATACATATTATATACATAAATATTATAGGGGCGACGTCGTTGCAGTGTCAACGTTCAGGTTGTTTTCACGCCCCTTTAATCGTAATCACATCGCGGAACATATATGTATTATCCATATATATATATATATATATATATATTTGATAATAAAATATAATATCGAAATCTATGCTATCAGGAGTCATACTCACCTACCTATATAACGATGCAATATCGCTTTGCTGAAGTTTTTTATCGACATTTAACGATTTCCTGACTTTTTCTTCAGTATACCCGACCTGGACGAAATGGGGCGTTTTATGTACGACAGCTTTGAGTTTATACGACTGTCAACACGAGGAAATAAATTTCGTTGATTAAATAAAATTAATATTGTGTTATAATATATTGATACGTCGGACGATTACTAACGAACATTTTTATCGGGAATAACAAAAAAAAAAAAAAAATAAAAAAAAAAATACCGATACAATTACAGAAATAGCACGAGTGAAGGACGGTACAACAGAGATGGTGAAATACGTTGTACCGAATTCCCGATGAAACATAATGTGGAAAAGTAAAAAAGAAAAATTTAAACAACCTCTCGCGTAAAGTTGAACACCACGGTTACCTGGAGTGACCGGGACAGCGCTGAGAGTCGATAATATGCGTTCACGACGCGACGAGTGTATGCCTATACAATAATATACGACACTTATACTGGGCACCACTATTTCAGATCCACAGTGTTTTTTCTCGCGAACTTCGCTGCACTAGACCGGATCGAAGGTTAGACGGGACAGAAAATACAGTAAACATGGCAGGTATATCAGTGACATTATGATACAATATAGGTTTTAGCAGGTCGGGTTAGGCTAGGCAACCCGACTCGACACACGGTCTGACTCCCGAGGCGTGTCTTGGTATACACGGTAATAATATAATATGGTATGACAATAACAATAACAATAATAACAATACTAATAATACTAATAATATTAATAATAATAATAATAATTATGGTGATGAATAAATATATAACGTATATAAATGACGGTACGACGTGTGTGCATGAGGCGCGCGTGAAGGCAACGATATCGACGACGGGCGGCGACGGCGGCAATAATAATAATATTTTAAGGACCGTTCGCAATAACATCATAATAATATACGTAAAAAGGGAGCAGTGCATCTTTATCACTGTCTCGGATATGTTTATCGTGTCGTCTAATCGTCATCGGCCTCTCGCGTAGTCCTGCGATTGATCGTAGTCGACGACGACCGACGACGACCCGTGAACGGTGACCCGGTGCAAAGGCAAGTACGATTTGTCGCCGTACCGTCCGGACGCGGACCCGCATTTGACGATCAGCCCGCCGGACTCTGCGCCGCCGCCGCCGTCTTCGTAGTCGCCGTCGCCGTCGTCGTCTTCGCGACCTTTGCAACGCCCGTTCTCGTGGTCTCCGGTCGCGGACCCGTTGACGACGAGATGCTGCTGCTGCTGCTGCTGCTGCTGCTTCTGCTGACCTCGGCCGAACCGTTTGACGGCCAGGCCGACCAGGAAAAAGCCCACGGAAGCCGTCAGTGCGACGACCGCCTTCACCAGCACCGGTCCGACGTTGAAGCACAGGTAGATCAGCGCGTTCAGCGAGCTGGGCAGGCTCTTCACTTCCTGCAAACGAGACGAGTGTGAATTTATTTCGCAACATATTATAGTAGGTAGTTAGGTAGTCTATATAGTTACATCGTAGTAAAGATATTTTAAGAATTGCGTACGATTAAATCACTATTCTAATTCAACGTAAACCGCTTGCGCAGCTAAAGTCATCGTTGTAGTTCAAATTTAAAAAAAAAAAAATAAAAAAATAATTTAAAATAATTGATTGAATACATTACTAATTGCTGCAATAATAATAATCATTATTTCTAAAATGTTTAACGACATTATAATGTTAGGACATTGCCCGATATTAACGTAAATTATTCGTTTTATACGTTCCGCTTGTGAGGAGTGCCGTTAGGTATTATTTAGGCGGTTGAATATTAATATATAAATATGTAGGTATATAAAAAACATTGAATATTTTACATTCTATCATACCGACCTATCAATTTATACGATTGGTATGTTAGAAGCGGATTTTTATGTCTTGATTAATATCATGCATACTTTGGACCATACAAACATATTTATATTTATTTCTTTTTAGAAGCATCTAAATACTCGTATTGCTATATTTTAAAAGTTAAAGTTCTTAGTAAAATCTAAACAGTCAATGAACCCAAATCTTTATCGTAAAGTTCTATTTATCAGTTTGTTGGAAAAAAAATAGATCTTTTAGAAAAAAAAGGATTTCTTTTGAAGTCTATCTCGAATCTCTTTTACGTTTTTGATAGTATGTAGTTAGTAATATTTTAAATTTACTACTGTTTGGAATCTTAAAACTGGAATTTTCTTTAACTCGATATTATTGTTGTTATTAAATTGATTTTTTTTGTTTTTAGAGTTAGAGGAAGAACTAAAAAATACTACTCATATTATAAAAATTATGTTTCGTTTATATCCAAAAACTAATGTACTATCAAACAACTGATAAAATAACTATTTTAAAATAGTTTATATCTAAAATTATTTATCTATCCTAGCGTGTGATTTGGACCATATTACAATATTAACTATAAATAATTCGTTACGACATATTATAATTATGTATGATCAATCATATTTATAATTATTCTAATATTTCACTACAGTGAATAACTATATGGTAAAAATATAAATTATTAAATACATTTTTCATTTCAATATTGTATATTGATTTCAATTCAAGATGTCAGTGAGTTTAAATTTTGGTTTCTGAGCATACTATATGACGGACTATAATAAAGTACATATCATATCTTTTCAGACATTATGAGAGGTCACGAAAGTCATGGAAAACAAAAACAATAATTTTACGAATATTATAATGCACTGAGAATAATACATAATAAAATAATTTTGAATTCAAATATGTATAATTAACAACATTAATTTATTCAATTTTATATTCACTTATGACCCACTTGTCAGACAACTTTGATTATTATCGAACATCCTTGTGCCCCAACTAGTTTGTATAACGTTTGACGGTTTGCTATAGTGAGCATAATAAAATTATTCTAATTCATGAACAGTCTTCCATGTCAGCACTGTGTATAGTATAAGTCGTTACGTCAATAATGATTCCTGTAAGAAACTTAGTTTGGTTGCATGCAGACGGTCAACATTTATATTTGCTTGTTCTATAAACGTGAAGCGTTAAAATGTAGATAGAATACTGATTAATTTGTGCTGATTTGACGGTATTCAGTTTGACGTTTTAGACGTGTGAAGGTGTATAAGGAAAAAACAATTTCTTTTTTTTTTTTAAATCGATTCTATTAAAACATTCTACATACCCACTGAATATTATATTAGGTTCCTAAGCCCACTTTTACAGTGGGATGAAAAAAAATTATCAATAATTAAATCATCTTGGTAGTTTCAAAATTTTCAGCGACTGTTTCAATTTATACCTTTTTTTTTTTTAATTATTTTTTAATTATTTATATCGTTATATTTTACCCGGACTTGCTCCAGACTACTCTGATAAATTGTAAACTGTGTATTTTGTATTTTAATTATCACTATTGTAAAATATTCATTCTCAATTTTTAAATATAGAAAAAAAATAATAAAAATATTTATGTTTTTCTATAATTTTAGGTTAAATGACTTAAAAAACAGTGTTTAAATTCTAAAATATATATATATATATATCGTCTTTATGTTTTTGGAATTTTTACTCGTGATAAATTGTTTATCTTAAATAAGTCTAAATACTAAAATATTTGGCATGAGTTAATATTTAGTAAGAAAAAAAAAACAATAAAATATTAATTTATGTTCATAAAATTCATCTGGATTAAAATGTATCATACAAGGTTAAAAGTTATCATTGTAATAATGATATTTGGTATAGATACCTAAGCGTAAAAAAAAACTAGGTAACATTATTTTTAATAACACTATTTATATATAATTTTTTTAATTTAAATATTGTTCATTTGTTATTTGTCGTTTATTTTAAGCACTGTTGATTTATACACATTATTATTATTTTTTTGTTTGTTTGTTTGTTTAATTGTTTAATATTTTCTATTATACCGTTGAATCTTATAATGTTTAAAAAAATAACTTTGAAGTTCTGTTTAAAAAACATAAAAGACACATTTTAAATTTACCAAATGACGATTATACATTATATGACATTATAATAATCTCTACTATAATATTAGCTATATACTAATTGTAGAAGAATTATTCAGGCCAATTTTATAATTACAGACATAAAGTTAATTAAAACCACGTGAGTTGCGGGTACAAATATTTAAAAAAAAAGTCGTAGATAGGTGGGGTTAAAAAAATATTCGTGTTTTGTTAAAGAGTAATCGTTGTTCTTAAAATGTTTGTTTTATAAAATACTTATTATCGTCATAAATTGTGAATGTTTAATTTCTATAAAAATTATAGATTTTGTGACATTATTCTTTTTTTTTTTTTTTTTTGAACAACTTGTATAAATAATAATCTATTGATTTCATCACTTAAATTGCAATAATTGGTTGTTGATAAATGCCTCATTTTCGACAGCTTTTTATCGCTCGTTTTAAATTTCACACAGCAGTCAAATTCATTTTCATAAAGTTACCAGTCTATACTTAATGTAATTTCTCGATTAATTTATATATATTAGGAAGAATATGATAAAACATACCATTAAGCTTAGCATAAAATCGAAAAAAAAATCTCTGTTCATATTTTTGGAGGAAACATCACAGTATTTGTTTTTATGTAGTTCATAAACATATAATTTGTAATATCATGTATTACATGATAGCTGTACAGTCAGTCAGCTGCGTAAACATAATTTATCGACTACGTCGGGTACCATGGCATATAAGATTTCAAAAAAGTTTTGGATAATTTTGGATATTTACTAATACGAGCAATGTAAAATATATTCTTTCGGATTAAATTTATATCTTTTGTGTCTAATATATTCAAATCTCAGAATGTATGATTTTGCTGTAACGTTCACATAACTGTTCTACTACTCATTGCGCTTGATATCATTCCCTACCTTCTGCCATACAAATAATCATTCTTCGATGGTTGCATAGTTATGTTCAAAATTATTTTCTACTTGAACACCGTATACATCAATTTTTAAAATACATTACACATTCTTTTGGTACATGCTAACTGTTGAATTTCACTGCACATTATTAAATGAAAACGAAACATAGAACTGTCAATCACACGTAACTCTTAAATTTTTCACTAAATATACTGTAATTATTTGTTATAAAAGTTATCGTTGTTAGTTTTTCGTCAAATTAATTTAAAATATTTTTTGACGGCCATCTCAAAAGCACTGACGCAATCTTAATTCTGATAAATAATCCGTCCAATAATGTCAACCGTTAATATTAAACAATAATTACCCAATGTTTGCAGTCGTTATATAAAAAAACTAATAATATGAAATTTGTCCGCAATTAATATGTTACCTTATTAGGTTTTATCCGCAACTCATAAAGTTTTTATTACATTGTTCGTCATTAGGAAACACCATAAATATTATAGTGATAAAATAATCATAGTTTATCATAATTTATTATGTGCAAGCGATTCTAAATTTACCTACTTTTTAAGTAATTTTCATTACATCGAATAATTTACGATAAAATAAGGGAATAAGGGAATCACATTGTTATTTACAGGACTTAATGATTATAACACAATAATATGTACTAAACTTATCGGACCCCAAGTTAACCACCCGAACCCAAATATGTTACATCTTCTTGTTCTGATTCTCTCAAACTTAAAGCGTATTTCGGTCATTTTGAAATGTATTGCGGTAAGAACGCGCAAATTGTTTGCATTTACGTACACACACACGATCGTCGAAAAATAGTTTAATAGAGTTTCGTTTTCTCATGTATTTAATATTTCTCACACTTGACTCCGTGAGATAGAAATTCTTGTATATTATATTCCTCGATGTATATGGTGGGTTTAATAATAATTTAATAAAATAAACACCGTTTAAAAATTATTATTATTTATCCGTACCTACGACAATATCCGACGGTCGAATGTCAAGGAAAACCACGTGCCTCCATATGCTGCAGACAAATGCCACACATATATTATGTTTCTCCTACACGCACAGTAGTTGTACCAATATACATTGCATGCAATCACAGCCTCGTTGAATCGTTGTTTTTTTGATATCAAAACATCGAGAAATGTCTGTGTATAAAATACACTATGTACATAATACAATTATATGACTATTTTAGTCCCGATATTTTAGAAAAGTTTTTTTTTTTTAACGTCTAATTATAAGTATATAAATACTTTTAACTTTTTAAATTTATGTTTTGGAGGATAACATGATATTGTTTTGCTGTCTATGCTTATATCAAAGGTTATTTGTATACAAATAAATTAAATTTAAAGTCACTTGCAAGAACTAAGTCATGTAACAAATATTGAAAAACCGTTGTCTATAAACTGTCTTACCAGCATTAACCTGCGTTAACGAAATAAAATAGTATAATAATAATATCTTGTTATTA